TTCCATATTTAGAACTTCCTCAACGCCCAGAGCCACTCCTCGATCTCAAGAGAAAGATCTCTGCCATGTAACTCCTCCAGCTCTCTTGCTCAGTCTCAAGAAAATGCTTTTTCTCCTCACAATTCTGCTGTTTACCTACTGTAAGCCAAGGACATACTTCTCTCATACTACAGATCTTCCTAAACCAGAACCATTGTTTCTTGTCTGAAAGCTTTTCTCTTTCTTCTCTTAGTTCAATTGTCTCAGCAGAATCAGGAAAGTACTGCAAATGGCAAAGGTAGGTTCTCTTTTCTTGATTTTGAGATATGCATGGAAATTGTTAACAAAACAAATTGGGGAAGGGATTTAAAAATATCGAAAACCTTCATGTAAAATCAAATCTTTCTCCTGTCTGTGCAGTGAGGCAGTTTACAAGTTTCCAAAGTGAACTCTTTGCTGACCTCTATGTACAGTCAAAACTGCTTTAAGTTAAAACACATTCCCCTCACTAGAAATGCCATAATTTATTTGAGTCATGACTAGTTTATTACTATTTTCTATGAAAAAATTACAACTTTTTATTACAAATTTATCTGTATAATATAAAAGGAAACAAATTGGATAGACCATCAAGGCCCCTCCTGTTACTATTCAAATGTCCAATCTACTTACACAAGGTTAATTCTGCTTGTTTACCTACAGCCACAAATAAAATACTCTTTTTTTCTTCCACGTTCACATGCTACCTCTCAATTACTATATAGGTTTACTTTCTCCTGCAATTAACTTACCATATTTACTTTTTCTACTTTGGTTATTTTCATTGCTGCTGTAGTTCAAAAGCATTTCTGTTGGTTCATCTGGACACATGTGTTGACTTTCTGTGCTCTTTGCATGAAGATTTTCATTTTTCAGCACACCTGAAGCTGCAGAATGGTTTTAAAAAATACGAACTTGGGTTGCCTATCTGAAGTGGAAAAAAATCTAATATCCTATTTTGCTAGAAATAACTATAGCTTAGTTCTGAATGTATATGGGGGAAAATCTGGGAGTTTCTGGGGTGACAGGTACAGTCAGCTCACACAGAAGTTTCTTCTTTCCAGAGATGCTCTCCAACCCCAAGCTCGTACCAGTCCAGGGGACTCTGAGTGTAGTGATGAACCAGAACGTGATCCTGTCCTGCCACTCTGACTCTGGAGCTGCACCTGTCAGATACACATTGTTCAAACATAACCAGCAGGTATCCTCCCTAGACAGGTCAGACCTGACCCCTGGGCTGTTTAACCTGACCATCAGCTCTGCCAGTGACCTGGGTGCATACAAATGCAAAGCTGAGAATAACATCTCCAGTGGTGGGAAATACAGCAACAGCCTCAACTTCACCCTCATAGGTATGTCTTGCTGTGTATCTTCCCAGCACAATTTATTTTAGGGGCACATGGCTTGACTGTGGAGCTGAACTTTACTGCAGAGGGCTGATATTACCTTGGGAGTGGGCTGTGCTGTCCAGACCTGGCTCACCCTCAATGCTCATCTACCATGCCAGTCTTGCCTAGAGCTTGTCCTGTCCTCAGTGCTCGAGTCTGCTCAGTTCTCTTTTTGCAGAGCCAGTCTCCAAACCAGTGCTGAGCTCACCCACCTCTCACACCAAGAAGGGGCAGAACGTGACCCTGTCCTGCCTGGCAGAGAATGGATCTCTTCCCATCACATACATCTTCTTCAAGGGAAAGCAAAACATCTCTCCCCAGATGACGATGCAGAGGAGGGAACCAGCTGTGATTCTTCTCTTTATCAATTCCTCTAGTGACTCTGGAACCTACAAATGCAAAGCTAATAATAGTTTTCCCAGCAATACAAAATACAGCAACAGTTTCAACTTCACATTAGCAGGTATGCAGGAGGGAGAGCAGTTACCACTGCTGGTGAACAGGACCCACACAAAATTCAGGGTGTTGTAACAATGCAGGTTTTTCAAACAGATATTTTGTTCCTGCAATGTTCAAAATATATTCTTTTACTATTAAAAAAAATAAAATTGAGGTGTTAAGATGAATGCAAACACACAGAATTCCAGGCAGCCTAGACAGTAGAAGTTGCAGAGACCATGAAGGATGGCTCTAAAAGACTCACTTTTACCAGAAACCCCTGGTCCACCCTGGGGAGAGTCTGGTTTGATTTTTCTCTCTGATCCCATGAAAGAACCTATTGGCACCAGCAAATTCCCTTCCTGCTGCTGGGGCAGAGTGCACCTGGGGCTCTCCTGAGTAGTTACACTAACCACAGTTAATCCAAGAGCCGAAAGAAATGCCAAGTCTTGACTTTAATTTACAGAAAATACTTACAATATGAAATAGAATTTCATTGCATAAACACTTTTTTTGTTCTTTTCAGCAGAAGAGAGAAGCCATTCTCAGGCCCTGATCATTTCTCTTGGGCTGATCCTGCTTCTACTCGTAATAGGACTTGCTGTGGCAATTCCATTTCTCATAATTCCTTCATACAAAGCAAGTGAGTTATCTGAACATCTGTTTCATTTTCCAGAGAGTCTCATTTATGCTGTCAATACACTTGAGTGTGCAAACATGATGTTACCAGTAGAGTTATGCTCTTGGTGTTTTAGGATGTTGTCAAGTCTCCTCTTTAGCAGCATTGGCAACTTAACAAGACATTGCCAAGGCAAAACCTCTGACCTGTTTGAGATATCTGGGACTGGGGAAGCAAAGCAACACCTAATGGAAACACAGAAATGTTGGAAAGAATTTGACCCTCATTGTTCTTAGTAAAGAAAGGAAATTCTATGAAAAATGCCCTTGGTTAAAGAGTAATTTTTACCAATAACATTATCTGAGATCAAGATATTAAAAAAATACCACGGAGCTGTTTATTTCCCTCTAGGGAAAAATTGACATATATATATATATATATATATATATCTATAAAGGCATGTTTGTCTTTTTTACAATTTGCAGGAAGATTTAGGTCTGCCAGGTCCTCAGCTGGTCTTCCACCAACTGGGGATGCAGAGGAGGCTGAAAACGACGTCATATACACAGAGATTGGTAAGTTTGTGCCACCCTCCACTCAGTCAGGGTTGCATGAGCACATTCCCTCAGGTGCTGCAGCAAAAGCAGCAGAAGGGACTGCCAGAGGCAAGACTGAAAGCCTCTCAGGATCTGAATTTGGCCTCACCTCTCAGCCATGCACCAAAATTGCAGCTGGCTAAAGAACTGAGGTTCTATATAAACATCTATTAAAGGTGTAATTCCCATTCATTAAGAGACAATAAGGGACTATATGAAGCTGCAGCAAAGGAAAACTTACACAGCTTCTACATTCTGTTCAGCACTTTAGTTATTTCCACGTTTCTTAAGTTTGGCAAGACTCAAAGTCAGTTCAAACCGATAGAAGACATTGCACTACTTCAGCTGCAGAAAATACACAATAATGAAGACAATTACCCAATAGCCACAATTCTGTGAACTTGTAGTTTTCTATATTTGCCTTATTTTCAAGGGGAGAAGAACCTCCCAAAACAAACCAATAGCAAAGGCACCATTTTTTCCATTTCTAAGTATCAAGAAGGGAATCATCATCACATAAGAGATCTGGATTCCTGTCCATGCAGGAGACAGGCAGAATTCTCTGCCCTTGCTGGGTCAGCTCAGCTCGTGCCAGCTCTCAGCATTCCACCCACACAGCCTGCAAGGACAGGGACAGGAGCTCCAAGAAGGCCCATGAATGCTACAGAAAACATGATTTATGCTCAGTATAGATCTCACTGCTTCAAGATTTTAAGTCTAATCAGTGTCTTGCAATTGAGTTAACTGCTGTTCATCATCTTTAATCCAGAGCCTGTTAAACCAGAAGAAGAATACATCAACTTTTCTGTCATTAGAAGAGAAGATGAAAAAGGTAAAAGCCTCGAGCTCTAATATGGGAATATCTGATGTGCATAAATATGATTTGGGGGATCTTGCTGGGCAAAGCTTGGAGAGGTGCAGCTGCACCCTGAAATCTCTTAGATACTGTGGAGAAATTAAACTAACTTTCAGACTCTTTTGAGGGGGTAGAATACATCAACTTTTCTGTCATTAGAAGAGAAGATGAAAAAGGTAAAAGCCTCGAGCTCTAATATGGGAATATCTGATGTGCATAAATATGATTTGGGGGATCTTGCTGGGCAAAGCTTGGAGAGGTGCAGCTGCACCCTGAAATCTCTTAGATACTGTGGAGAAATTAAACTAACTTTCAGACTCTTTTGAGGGGGTAAAAAAAAAGAATCTCTTAGATACTGTGGAGAAATTAACTTTCAGACTCTTTCGAGGGGGTAAAAAAAAGAGAAAAAAATGAAAAAACCCAAACCATCCTATGACCCAAAAATGCAACAGCCTCACTATGACAAGGTGCTGAAGAAATATTAATTCTGTTGTGTAACTGTACCCAAACAAAAGCAATAATGACTGATGTTCTTCTGGCTTTTAGCAGAGAAGAGGCTTTGTGGCACAGTCTATTCACAGGTCCTCATCAGAGACTGAGCACCAGGTATGATCTCTTTCCTGATTAACTTCATTGCACAGTTTTGAAGAAACTTTCAGTCCTCAAATGTGATAAATACCAGCAAGTTGCACAGAAAGATGGTGTTTAGATACAGTTTCCTGGCCTGATTAGTTTGTACAGAAAATACAGTTCCCTCTCGACCAGCAAGCAAAATCCCCAAGTCACAATCTCCAAGGACTGCTACAAATAACCCTTTTATAATTAAATCAGCACCATGTTAATAGACTGAGATTTTAAGGCAAGTTCCTGTGTTTTTTTAAGGCAAGTTCTGGTCTTTCATGACACTGATGGCTATCAGAGACCTCATGCCTTGTGGCATATGCCTTAAGCACTTCATGCAGTGGCTGAACAAGCTGTAAATCTACAGCAGATCAGAAACACTCAGTTCCATATCTGTGCTAACTCTTGTATCTGATTGTAACCACCACACTGAGGTATAGGAAAAATATGATCACACATTAGTCTGTTTCCACCATTTTACACACACAGACTTTTTTTGCCCACAAAAAATGCTTGTAAAAAACTTGGCAATGTATTTAATTCTATTCTGCTGTTATAATGTATTTCTGATTTTTATGTTTAGCAAGTGCAAGATGAAGTAGTTTGAGTGTTGAAGAACTGAGGCCATGTGAGCAAAATACATTCCTACAAACACATACCACAAAGATACTTACTGATGTTATTAAAACATGTCAGATTTGGAAGTCTTTTCTATATGAATACCAGCAGAGACCACAATTGTATCAGCAATGCAGATAAAGTGGCACTTTTAGCTTTCAGACTGACAGTAAAACAGAAGACATGAACAGGAATATTGTCAGCCCTGACAACCAGGGACACGTTTGTCTCTTCCCTCTTTCCAAGGTAACCTGGAAGTCCTGGATGATCCAGATTTGACAGAAAGCAGCTGCATCCCCAAGCTTTGGAAGAACTATCAGCAGAGAAACCACCGAGCCCATGATGACACACGAGCTGCTTCAGGCACAGATGTTTAAGAAATTTCTTTTATTCAACGAATTCAGTTTACACATTTTTGGCTGATGTTACATACTTAGTTAAAAAGTCCTTCAGCCTAGAAATGTGCATCATTTCCTTCATGGTGGTGTCTCTGCTTCTCAGCTGGACCACTCCATTCTCCAGGGTGGCATCAGTTATCAGGACCATGAAGAGAATACTCATCTCATCATACCTGCAAAGAACAGAGTCAGAGCTCACCCGTTACTGCTCCTGGATCCAGAGAACTCATGTACAAATGACCACAAGCTGTAAATATTTATTTTGCTGTACTGCACTAAGTCCAGTGTGACAACACCAGTTTTTTTCTGTTGCCATTCCTTGCTTTCCTGATTGCATTTCTTTAAATTATTTACCTACTTAAGTACATCAAGAATGTTTAGTGACCTATTAAAGAGTATTTTGCTAGTAACAGAATTTATCTGACTTGCTCTGAAGATTATTGCAAATGAACAACTAGCTGCATTTATTTTCTCTCAGGAAAAAATATCCAGCAATGTGCTCAAGATTCACTGACATGAGCAGCCACATGCCCAAAATTCACTCCTGATCAGCTAATCATATGTGAAACCCCCAAATGGAACAGCTGGTTTTATCTCTGCTAATAATTCCATCACACACACTAATGGCAATGGTTCCAGACATGGAAGAACTTAATAAGTTCAATAGGTACTTGAAATGGCACTTGAGAATGAAACACAGAACTAGCCCAGAGGCAAAAATGGGAGGTGAGGGTGGGGAAAAGTTCTCTGAGCTTATGACTCATCTGAAGAAATTTCAATAGGAGAGTCCCTAAAAGGCACTTCACAGTTCCAGGGAAGTAACAATGTGAAAGGATTATACTTCACTTAATTTAAAATCTAGAACTGTCTGTCATGCTTTTCATAATAAAACTACTTGAACCTAGCTCAGGATCCATTCCTTCAGCGAGGTGGTTACTGCACTCCCTGACTTCTGCCTGAAATCAGACTCACTTTCACAGTTTAATTTACAGAAGTGTTTCTCCTTACTTTGTGTAAAGCTGTTCCAGAGACACCTGCACAGTTTCAAGGTAACCTGGCCACACAGAAATTCTGCTTTCTGTCAGTTCATTGAACAGTCCTTGACAAACCTGTGTTCGTTCAAAAACAGAAGTTAAAAGACAGACTCTGAGGGTCTGAGACTATACAAAGAGACCATTACAACTCTAACATGTGTGGTACTAACATTGCTAACTGGTGTTAAGTTGCTGGCTGAAATCATCTCCAATTAAAACTGGAGACAATTAAATCTCCATCTCTGTGTAACAACATACCAGTGTTTCCTCCCTTCTGCAGGGACTGACAAATGACTAACTTACATAAAATCCTTCTGAAGATGCAACCCATGTGTTAGGATAGTTCTGAAAGGTTGAGAAGCTGAGAGGGATTGTGTTAATTATTTCACTTCATTTTGCATGGAGCAAGTATTTGCTCTGTGAACAGCACCAAATGCAGTGTGTCCACACAAGGAACTGCCTGCAGTGAACTCCTCCAGCTGCACCTCACAAGCTGCACAGAGGGAGCACTGGGAAACCTGTACCATCAGGAATCTCCAGGAATCAGAGCAGCACATGATTCTTCCCCAGCATAAACAGTGTCTGAATTGCAACACAGAGAGGCAATGCTCAAAACTAAAACAGCCTTACCTGCCTCAGCTCAGTGGTTGGACCTTTTCCTACATCCAAGGCCACTTTAAGAGGTGCTAAACAAGGATGAAGCTTAAGCACCTAACAAATGTACAAAAAGCAACAGATAATTGTGTTTACCATGCAATTCTAAACAGAACTACAAAATAGTGCATTTTTTAACTGAAATGAAGGTTCTAAACAGCAAAAATCCTCTCCTAGCACAAAATCCTGAGTTAGAAGCTGTATTTTATGAAACTAGCACACACCCCAGCTAGATTCATGTGGCAGAAATCACTGTTTTGGCTGAGCCCCAGGAAAGAGATTAAATCTTATTAGCAGAGCTCTATCACCTGGAACTCAGCCAGTGAGCAGAGACAGCCCAGTACCAACTGCTTGGGTCAGTGACTGGAGAAAAGGGAGATACATCCATGCTTGGGTTTACCCCCTGTCTGTGGGGTTTGTACACAGCCTTTCCTTACACTTTCTACAGAAGGTTACCTTTCTCTGTGAGGAGCTCTTTTTTGTTAAGGGGTTTTCAGACAGCTGTAGAGAGTCAAAGAGATAGGCTAACACTCCTCGGTCCAGATCCCCATTCACAGACAGGACATGAGGAATAACATTCTTCCTCCCATCTCGGCCCTGAAGAAAAAAAAAACCACAAAGGGAAACCTCAAAGACTGTCCCAAAGAGCTTTTTGCTCACTTTAAATGTATAGTAAGGCAATCTTAAGAGTGTAACAGTAATCAGGTGAGATTGTAACAGTCTGACTTTTCAAACATTGCCATTCTCTCCAGTATATTCAGTAGAGGTTTCCCTCTGGTCCATTCCCCCTTGGAGTGTGGTAACTTCTACAAGGCCATCTGCAGTGTTTATAACCCATTAATCCACAGATACTTCTACTACATATATGGAACTGAACAAGCAAGAAAACCATTTACAGGTTCTTTTTGGAGGAAACTCAACACAGTAAAGCACAGTCTGAGTTTGCCTTGACATCTTCTAACAGATGCAGGTAAAGATTATGGCACTGTCTTGTTAATATAGCTCATTTCTGATTTTAAAGAGTTAACTTCTTGTAAAAAAAAAAGTCCCAAAACACTGTTTTATAAGCTTTTGAAAATGAAGGTCTGATTGCAGACTATCAACTTCACTGCATTTACAGCAAAAGAATAAAGACAGTCACCTGCTAAGCAACTGGGCCAGCAAAGAAACCATTTCTCTCACACATGATCATCTTTATCAGAAAAGATTTTTAATATAATACAGCTTACAAGTAATCTTGAACTATCCCCTGGGTACATCTCTAACAGTTCAGTATCACCATGGTTCTTCAATGTTTCTATCGTTTCTGTCCCCCAAGGAAAGTTGTAATGCAAGTTAAATCCTCTTCTGCCTTCTGCATCCTGGAAGTCACTGCTGCTGAAGTTAGATGGGGCTACTGCAAACTGGAAGGAAAGGTGTCAGAGGTGATCACTACTGGATTCACTACAAAAACCAAATCTGCAATGAAAGCTGAAGTCTGTGACTTTCAGCAAAAGATTTTTACACATCACAGCCCAAATCTGTTGTTTTCCAGCATTCTGGCCTCACATCACTTAAACACAGAACATTAGCTGTTCTGCAAGTTACACTATAAACTACTTATCAGGTTTGTCATAAACTTCAGTAGTTTTTCCGTTTCCACTAGAAATTTGTATGTTTCACTGACAAGAACAGGGTAGAACTGTAAGCCCATAAAACTGACCAGGGTGACTATTCCCCCTCTGAGACATACAGGAGCAGGCAGAGATTCCCCACGGATGTGTTGCTGTTACCTTTCTCCACCACTGGAGCCTCTGCCGTAACCAGTAATCCAACCACTGTCCTGCAGTCCTGGGAGAACTAAACCATGCAAGCAGGGACGAGGTCCTCTCGCCTATTCTTTAAACAATAGCAAGGGCAGCAAGTTAACACCTTCGGGAATAACAGGGAAAAAGCAAGAGACAGTATTCAAAAACAAGCCCAAGGCAAACCAAATATTAACAGCTGCAGTAGGGTAAGGGATCAACCCCTCAGTTACTCCACCTTGTGAGCTCTGTGCTGTGCTGCTCATCCTCCGGCACGGAATGGAAACACACTCCAACCTGGGCAAGGCCACAGGGCAACCTTTTGTTCACCAGCTCTAGGCAGCTGGCATACTGGGCGAGGACACCTGGCGAAAGACACATCACTGAGTTAGCGGCCGCAGGAAATGTTTTTGGTGCTTTAACTCTGCCAATGCAGCCCGTGAGACACGTGTTGTGTGTGCACTCCCACAGCTGTCAACGCTCTGGCTCCTCGGGGCACTTTGCTCCTCTACTTTTTTTGCCTGTCTAGTTTTTCCCTCTCTACTTGTTTTGCCCCTCT